TCCCTCCCTCCCTCCTTCTCTTCCTTCCCTTCCTTCTCTCCCTTCCCTCTCTGAACCTAAGCCTTACGTCATTGGCCGCTGCGGGGCGAGGCACTCGCGGCCCTATCAGTCATATCGAGTTTGGGGGAGCTGGGTGGGAGTGCGATATCCGCTGCCGAGTGCCGTGCGCGGATTGCAGTGCCAGGCCGGGTTAGCCTGGCCAAGCCAGTGCGGGAGACCACTATACCCTCTTGAAAGCGTCTTTCCCCGGCGCATGCTTGACGCTGCTACCCCGCAGATGTCCATCTCGACAAGACCTACTCTGACACCGATTTGGTTTCCCTTTCACACCCGTGGGGATCATGTAGGAAAACACCCACCTTGAACTTTAGACACCTGTTTGACACCCTTTTTTTCCCCTTGCTTTGACCCAGGGCAACGCCAGCTTGCTGGGCGAGTTCTGCCGGGACGCGGTGCCGCGGCTGTGCGCGCACGCGCTGCTGTCCAACACGACGCGCACGACGCGGCCCTGCTCGCCGGCCGAGAGCTACGTGTCGACCGGGCAGGAGCTGACGCTGGAGCAGTTCCTGCGCCAGGGCTCGGCGCTGTACCCGCTCGTGTTCGCGCTGCGCTACGAGTTCGTCGACACGGCGCTGGAGGGCGCGCACGACAAGCTGTCTAGCAACCCGTGCGACCGGGTGTTCCGCTCGTCGAGCAGCGCGTCGGCGCAGGGCCACTTCCAGGCGCCGCGCTCCGTCTTCTTCTACGGCCGCGGCGGCGCGCAGAACCTGAGCTGCGTGTTCCGCTTCGAGGCCGGGCCGGGCGAGCGCGTCAAGCTGACGCTCTCCAAGGGCCGCTTCGGCAGCCGGCCGTGCAGCCAGCGCCAGGACGCGCGCACCGGCCGCTGGGACTGCGAGCCGCGGCCGGGCCTCAGGCAGGGCCACGCGCAGGCCGAGCTCTGGGTGTCCGAGTACCCGTGGGCGGGCGTGGCCGTCGCCAGGGACTGCTTCTGCTCCAGGATCGCCACCCCCGTCGTCATCTCGACGCTCACCTCGGCCGTCGTCGAGGTCAACTTTACCGTGTCGCGGATGAACATCACGCAGGACTACAACGACTTCCACTTTGAGGTGAGCGCATGACGGTACTGCCGCCGGCCACCGGTCGACGCGGAGGTGCCGGTGCTGACGGGAGGGTGTTTTGTGTTCCAGGGAGAGTACGAGTTTATCGGGCTGACGGAGAACTCGGTGGAGTCGGGCGGGCCGCCGGGCTGCGCCGGCGCGCGCGCCTCCGACCGGAGGATCACCAAGAACTCGGGGGAGGTGACGCTGCGCCGGCCGACCCCGCCGACGCCACCGGGCGCGACGGAGCAGGGCGGTGCCGGGGCGGGCGCGGGGGCGGGCACGGGCGGCGCGCTGGCGAGCATCACGCCCACGCCAACGCCGCCGCCCCCGGAGGACCCCGACGAGCTAACCTGCGTCCACCCGCCGTACCTGATCGAACCGGAGGACCTGGGCCACTACATCTACCTCAAGGTAAATCTCACCCAACTCAACGCACTTCAAGTTTTATTAGCGATTTGAGGGCCGTTAAAACGGAAAAATTGCGGCAAAAAGAGCAGAAAAAAAATC